TTAACAGCATAGTTTGGGATTGAGAAGAGCGGGGTTGGGGTCGCAGCAGTTACACTTGCTGTGTGATGGTGAATGTTCAGCCCCCTCACCCTTCAAAATCCTCATAGTTAAAATGGGAATAGCCAGAGCCTCCTTGCTGTCCTTGTGAGGATTAATGAAATAGCAAAGTTTCTGACACTGAGTCAGCTACCTAATAGGTGCTCAGCAAATGGTTGCTATCATTATTATTTATATTATGTAGATTTAATTCTCCTTGCTGAGATCTGAGGACATACCAGGGTCCATCACCTACAAATTTACCAAACTGCTCCAAAGGCTTGTTATTTCTCTAAAATGTTAATCGTATGTTGCTGATGTCATGGTGGTTAATTTCATATTGATATTTTTTAATACTGAATTTCAGAGACTGATATTTTATTACCTCATCCCTAATTATGAGGGTGTATCCAATTTGGGGCTTGCAGCAATCCATGAACTATATGAAATTTAGTAATGCCTTTTGGGCTTTCATAGGTCAAATATCTGAGATCTGATTCTCTTGTGGAACAAAGCAGACTCTAGTAAAGATTGGCAAACTCCCTACCATTAATAATAATAAAAAAAGCATGTCCTTTGGGGGATCCCTTAGAGTTTTCCTCATTTGGAATTTTAGCTGCCTATTGTGCTGATTTACAGACAGAGGGCAAACTCATTAATGTTTTTGGATCCTACAGTGTTGAGATATTTCTCAAAAGTTCAAGCAGGCTTTGATTTCTTTATCCATTTTGGAAGCCTCCAACTTTTCAGAACCCTTCATTATGGCAATTGATGCATCTTATTCAAGATTGGATGTGATTATAAGAACTCTGAGGATACAAAACATACTGCTTTTCTAAATTTCTGAGCAATTGTTACCAAAGGAAAGCATTTGACTTCTTTCCAGGAGGAGTATCTGATTTGTTTGGACTTGGGATAAACTCAAGCCATACATGTTTTTGGCCAAGAGTTTAATTTGTGGACTGATCATAAAGCTCTGAGCAAGACCCAAGCTTGAGAAAGCTACGACAGTGTCAGGACCATACCACACGTGATCTTTCAACATGTTTCTGGACGGATAAATACTCAGGCCAAGAAAAATCCTTATCAAGAGGGCAGAGGGACAGGAGCACTAAGCAAGTCCTGGACCTTCGTAAAGTAGATGTCACCCTGGGATATTTTGTTTGGATAAAAGTGCTGAGCCAGTGAGGGAGAGAGCAGGATGATACCCAAAGTAGCTGGATGGGGAAGCAGAGGCAGCATGGGTTTGTTGGGGCAGGCGGCCTCCTTTCTCATTGCCCATTTCCTGATGGTGGCAGTCAGGGAGCTTTGGTCTGAGGAATGCCCTCTACACTCACAGGGGGATGTGGGGATGCCCCAGAGGATCATGCCACACAGAGGAACATTCATCTCTGACAGAGAGCAATTCTAATCTCTGTGCTCTTTGCTCTCCACAGCTCGCTCTTTTGTGATGCTCTTTCTGTTTTTCTAATTATATGGATGGAACATCTGATTAGTTGCTAACTCTAATGTCCTTCTTTCACTTCTTGAGGCTTCTGATTGAATCTGCCCCACCTGAGGACAGCTGCTTGCCTCCCCTTGAACTACTGGGTGGCCAGGAACAGCTTCACGCATTGGGAACAGCTTTAAGGCCAAGGTGGGAACTAGTGTGGGGCAGCAGAGATGAGGAGGAGACACTTAGTAAAGAGGGGCTGCTGGGGATTGCTACCAGTGTTCAAAGCTGGGCATCCCGCATCAGTGAATCTGGAACATTCCACTTGTTCACTTACTTCACAAATATTTGATAGGTAGGTGTCAAGGACAATGTACAGGTAGACAAATCAATAAATGTACACTGACAATGGATAGTTAGTGCCAGGACATTAATAGGTGTAGAGATGAGATACCAGGGGTGGCGATAGGGAGCGTGGGAACCTCTTGAGACAAAGTGGTTGAAGATGGCCTCTCTGGGTGAGGCGTAGAGGATGGAGAGGAGCCAGCTGTCTGAGGGGGAAGAAGGGGCACAGGTTGAGGAAACAACATTGGGAAAGTCTTGAGGTGAGAGGGAGCTCACGGGATTCAGGGAACTGTAAGGCAGCAGGTGTGGCCACAAGGCTGTTGTGTGGCAAGGCTGGTGAGACTTCAGGAGTTGGGGTTGGGTTTTATTCTAAGTACAATGGAAAGCCAGGGAGTGGTTTTAAAGTGTGAGTGTGTGCCTGTGTGTGTGTGTGTGTGTGTGTGTGTGTGTGTGAGACATATCATGTGGAGACCTGTGAGGAGGTTCCTTACCAGAATTGCTAGTGATGACCTCATGATCCCTATCCCAGCCTTTGAGGAAACTTCAAAATGTCATTCAAGCCTATGCTTGTCCACTGGCACGAGACAGGGTGATTAGAGATGAAATGCCAAAGCTACGTCTAGTTCCAGGACACTGACACAACCAGAGGTGCCATATTGGGTGGTATATCCTGATATTTCACTTCCAGGCTCTCATCACAGTGCATCTCCTCATCATATCCCTTACTGATGCATTTGTGTCACTGAGTCTTGCTGCCTTTACACCCCTGCCTGTCTTCCTTTCCCGCTCTCCTCCACCTCTCCTTCCTCTTCTCTCCTTTCCTCAGTGCTCTTCACCTCTATTTCCTCTTCTTTCTCTCTCTGACTTTCTCATTAAGAGTCAGAGTTATGGGGCGTCTGGATGGTTCAGTCAGTTAAGAGTCCGACTTTGGCTCAGTTCGTGTTTGCATGGTTTGTGAGTTCGAGCCCCGCATTGGGCTCTCTGCTGTCAGCTTGGAGCCTGCTTTGGATCCTCTGTCTCCCTCTCTCTCTGTCCCTTCCCCATTTATACTCTCTCAAAAATAAATACATGTTAAAAAAAAAAAAGAGAGAGAGAGAGAGAGTTATTTGCCAAACCGCAGCTCTTCAATTTCTATTTTCCCAAATTTCTTGGCTCATCATTTTTTGTCATGTTTTTCTCCTCTCATTCCATGCCAGTCCCTCCCCTGGTTCCACTCACCTCCCCTCAAGGGGTTCCTCCCCACACCCCCCTCCCTCAACAGGCCTAACCCCAGGTCATGCAATTTAAAAAATGTCATCAGGAAAAAATGCTCTTGCTCTAGCCCTGTCAAAAGATGTGACAGAATGAACCTCAGTGACACCAGTCTGCGGCCGTCAATACAGTGGAAGACAGGTCTTGAAAACCAGACAAAACAGAAGGTATAACTGTGGCTCACTGCGCCCTCTGAGTCAGGATAATGAGAGAACATTCTTAGAACATGACTTAACCACGCTCAGGCCTCAGACAAATTCCTGGATGTGTATGGAAGACAAGCTACCAGCAAGCCTGAGCACAAATGTGCGGGCGGGCTTGGTAGCATTTTTCAGAGTTGCTACCTGTACAAAGCCACCTTCTGAGCCAGTTAGTTTGTGTTACAAAAAGAAAACAAAAAAACAAAAAAAACAAAAAGCCACAACATGACAGCCAGTTAGTCTGTACAGTAGACACCCTCTGGGGCTGCTCATGGCTGTGTTTTCATGGTTTTGTGTTGTGTTGCCTGGGTCTCTGTCTTGGGGTATTTGGGAATCCTTGACGTCATACTTTAGCAGGAAGAAGTTATGGAAAATTCTTGTCAGATATAGAAAAGAGAAACAGGATATTATCCATTTCCAGAGTAAAGTAGGGGTAGAAAGTCACAACACAAGTGCAGTTTGTCTTTTATTTCACTTACACCTGGAGGTGTGTGTATGTGTGTATGTGTGTATGTGTGTGTGTGTGTGTGTGTGTGTGTGTGTGTTTAACATAGGCGGCTTATCTGAGTGGATTTTAAGAAATTAATTTAACTGAAAAATGATTAAATTACAAAGAGGAAAAAGCATTCAGTTGGCATCATGCGGGGTCAGAGGCCACTGCTAATGCAATATTTCATCAATTGACTCATTGCTATTCTTCCGTTGATGTGATTTAGTTTCTCAAAGAGCTCTTATCGTGGTAGGCTTGCAATGGATACATTGCACAGATGCCTTCTAATCATTTCAGTGTGTTTACTTTAAAAACTTTAAAAGCAATTAAGCGATTTAAAATGTATTTGTGTGCACATGTGTGTGTGCGCGCACATCCACAGAGAGATTTTCTAAATGTTCAGACAAGGGATCTGAGTGAACACTAGGGCAAGTGTTAAATTTGTACACTGTAGCGCCCTTCATGCATTTCAAAGAGCCTCATGCAGACTAATGTTAAGCTTTCTTCATACCCATTGAATATACCACTATCCCTTTTAATACACTGAAGAAACCAGAAGACAAAGAATCTCCCTGTATTCCTTATCCAAGGCTACACAACTGTTGCTGGAACCTTGAGCTTTCCGAGTGCCAGCCACTTATTTGCGGCATATATCATAAGTGCTGGAAGACAGCAGTGGGTCCGTTTGTTAGAAAGTATAGTAATCAACTGTTGTGGGGGTAGGGCTTTGATATACTCTGCTTTTCATTTATTTTGATACAAAATAGAGCAAAACAAGTCATCCTATCGGCTTTTCTCATAGAAACCTACCAAGATCAAGGGTAAAACAGTAACAGGTGTCCATGGGAAAGGACAGAGCAACAGTAGGTAATAGGTATGTGTGCACATGGGTGGCGGTATCTTCATGCTCTGACCTGTCCTGTGCCTCTTCCCCTTTATCTTTGTTGCACAACCTTGTGTCCAGAGTTGAGAAAGGCAGGCATAGTTTGATGCAGAGGAGCCGAGTGCCATCGGCAAGATGACAGACTGTCCTGCTGCCCCCAAAGAGGCAGGGAGGGAGGCGCAGTGACATATTCATTTATCATTAAGCACTTAGGTACCAAGCGGTGTGCTGGGTTCTGGGGACTCACAGAGGAATAAGGCCTGGCCTTTGGGCCTGTGGAGGAGGAAGGAAAATAAACAACACCGTGAGTAAGTTCAGCACAGAGGTAGGTGTGGGCCTGGGAGAGGGAAAGGGGGGGATGAAAGAGTGAGAAGAAAGGTTCTCACGGGTGCCTCCACATATCGCTTGAGGCCCTACTCAGTGTTGCCTGCTGGGGCCAGTTCCCTTCAGACGGAAGCCTTTCTCACAGCGCCAGACGCTGGCCGGACCGTGAGCTAGACGACGCCTGTCGTCAGCTCCCCCAGCCTTCCCGACCCTGCCTTCTTCCTCCCTCCCTGCCCTTTCTTTCCCTCCCTGTGTGGAGGGGGGGGGGTCCTCACAGTCTTCTAGGAATCTGCTTAGGCAGCCACACACAGTCGATCAGGGCTCCCTGAATTGAATTGATCTTAAAAGGTATTCACATTAAGCCATAAATGACTAATCTGGGGGGGCGCCTGGGAGCATGTGCATTTATGAGGCCTCAAAGCCTTAAGCAGAAAGGGCTTCAGCCAGCTCAGGAGAAAAGCGCTTGCTTAGTGGGCTGGAGTGTTCCTGGCACTTCTGAATTCCATATTCTGGACAGTTGCCTACTCTACCTGCACTTAAAGCTGGCCCTGGTTCCAAACATCCAGTCCTACATGCTTCCCCTCCTGGCTCTATATTGTGCTGCGCGATAAGGCGGCGGGTGCGGGGTGGGGGGCTGACAGCTGCTAATCTGAGACCTTCTGGCTGGAAAGCCTGTTAAGACTGCGGACACAACCACAGTGAAGCATTTGAGACACAAGTGATGAAAACCAAAGGTGGGTGAGTAGGACACTGAGATGTTGTCCCTTCTAAATACACTCATTCTTCTAGTTCATTCTTGATTATGTGTGTGCTTCATGCACAGAGCAGGGTGTGCGTGAGCAGGCAGCTGTTTTGAAGTCACATTCCTAACGTTAGGTGGAAGGAAGGGGGAAATGACCAGTAACTTCCACGCCATTCTCCCCATAGTATTCATTCAGGATTTTCCCGCGGGCCGTATGTGGCTGCACAAAAGTGGCCTACTGGTGTAAAGTACAGTTTTGATTTGTGTATCCCTGTCCACTGAGGCTGGGTAGTTCCAGTAAGTTCTATTAAGAATAGTCCCCTCATAGAAGCGCATGCGTGGCTCAGCCAGTTAAGTGTCTGACTCTTGGTTTGGGCTCAGGTCCTGATCTTCTGGTTCATGAGTTTGAGCTGCACGTCAGCCTCTGTGCTGACAGTGGGGAGCCTGCTTGGGATTCTCTCTCTCTACCCCTCTCCTACCTGCATGATCTTTCTCTCTCAAAATGAATAAACTAAAAAAAAAGAAAAAAGAAAAAAGGAATAGCCCCCTTGTAGGAGCCTGTGCAGTAAAGACAAGTAAATATTTTTCAAACCCCAACTGAGTTCATTCTGAGGAGCTGTCTTTTTATTTTTATTTATTTATTTTTATTAATGTTTTTTATTTATTTCTGAGAGAGAGAGAGAAAGCAGGGGAGGGTCAGAGAGAGAGGGAGATACAGAATCTGAAACAGGCTCCAGGCTCTGAGCTAGCTGTCAGCACAGAGCCCGATGTGGGGCTTGAACCCACAAACCGTGAGATCGTGACCTGAGCCGAAGTCAGACGCTTAACTGACTGAGCCACCCAGGTGCTCCGGAGCTGTCTTTTTAAAAACACTATCAACTTCAATTAAAGTTTCGGAAAGTGGACATCTCTTAGCACTGTCCAATAAAAATATAATGGGGGCCACCTGATTGAAAGTTTTCTAGCTATTTTGAAAAGAAGAAAGGCAAAATTAATTTTCAGAATATATCTTATGAACTCACTCTATGAAAACATTACCATTTCGACATGTGATTGATAAAAGAATTATTAAGGAGGCACTTTACTCCTTTTTGTACTAACTATGCAAAGCTGGGTGTGTATTTTTCACTTCCGGTGTATCTCAACAGGGACTAGTGACATTTTGGGTGTTCTGGGCAATGTGTGGCTGGTGGCTGCCTCATTATACTGGGAAGATCTTGGTATCTTTCAAAGAGGAACAGTTTAGATACTTCTCCAGATAAACACATTTATTTATTTTTTATGATGTTTTATTTATTTCTGATAGAGAGATTGAGAGAGAGAGAGAGCAGGGGAGGGTCAGAGAGAGAGGGAGACACAATCTGAAACAGGCTCCAGGCTCTGAGCTGTCAGCACAGAGACTGACGCGGGGCTCAAACCCACGAATCGTGAGATCATGACCTGAGCGAAATCAGACGCTTAATTGACTGAGCCACCCAGGCGCCCCATAAACATATTTAAATTGAAGGAATCAGTGTGCTTTGGACAAGTGATACCTGAATATGGTTATAGAGAGTGAATTTAAGAGAGTGGGTGTTTGAATTTGGGTTTTGTGGTTTTATGAAAATGATAAGCTATGACCACACTTTCTTTTTCTTCCTTCTTCCTCCCATTCTCCCTCTCTTTTTCTCTTTCCTTCTCTTCCTTCCTTTCTCTCTTTTTCTCTTTCTCTCTCTCCCTCTCTCTTCCTTTCTTTCCTCCTTTCTGTCTCTCGTTCTCTTCCTTTCTTTCTTCCTTTCTGTCTCTCCTCTCTCTTTCTCTCTTCCTTCGTTCCTTCCTTCATTTGTTTGTTCCTTCCTTCCCTTCCTTCTTTCCTTTCTGTGAAAGAATAGTCTTGGCCAGCAATCTGATATAAACAAGATATTCCCAGGGCAAATAGCTGTTTTCCTGGCACCTGCTTACCGAGCCATGAGACCACGAAATTGGAGAATGGGAAGGAACCTTGGAGATCATGTTGGCCCTTGTCTCTCCTTGGAGATCATGTTGAATTGTGTCCCTCTCTTTGCCTCAGAATCACAGAGAGGAACATCAGGAAAATACTGATTCTTGCCCCCCCCCCCCCCAAGAATCAGATTCAGTTGATCTGGGATGGGGCCTAGGTATGGGTAGTTTTAAAAATCCCCCAGGTGATTCTAATCTACGGCCTGGGCTCTGAATGCAGAAACATCCCCTTCCTTTTACAGGTGAAGAAACAGAAGCTGGGTTACGTGACTCACCTAAGGTCCCACAGCTGGTTAGAGGCAGGAAGCGGGGCAGAATCCGGGTATTCTCTACCCTATCTCATATACAGAAAGACATTTCAAGAATACCTCCATAGTGGGTCTTCTTCTTGTTTGACCTCAGAATTATCATTCTAAATTGAGATACATTACCCAGCTCAACTTAGATTTGACATAACCTTCAAGAAAAGACTCTGAACCCTTCTTTCCCAGAAAATCTCCAGCTCAGTGATAACTTTGAAGCGATTCTCATCTGGGACGATGGCCCTAAATGCCTCCCATTTTAGGTCCACTTGGGTTCTGCATCTCTGTACTTAATATAGAGTTTTATTGGAAGGGTAGGCAGGAGTCCCAAAGGAGAGGACACCTGAGCTTGATCAGTCTTCTTTTCACTGACTCACAGCTAAAGCCAGAGCGGCTCGTTGACAACAGCCTTCCAGGTAAATATATTCACGCACCAAGCACGCAACGTGTGTGATTAAGGAGGGCTGGGGAGACTTGGAGGGGAGCCGTCATTGCCCAGCCTTCGCCCCTTGATCCTTTGAGATAATGACACAGGAGCTCTCTTGCCAGACTTCCCAATTATTCCAGAAGACAGAGATGGAGGTTTGTGTTTGCTTTCGTTTTTTGTGTGTGTGTGTGTGTGTTTTTGGTGAAATATCCCGATTTGTGATGTTGACAATGAATTCGGTTTTTAGAAAGACAAGGGTCACATAAAGCCCACTCTTTCATAAGCTCTATTATTTCTACTTGCAAGCCATCTGAGTACAACCTTCTACATAAGTCTAAGACTTCTTCATACTCAATATTGAGTTGTATTGGTTTGCAGAATGTTGATCTGATATCATCACGCTTACTTTTGCCCTAGACCCTGTGAAACTGATGAGCATCTGTACCAGAAGGCAGAATCATAGAAAAGTAAGTACCTCAGTTCCCTTTTAAATTTTATTCATTTTCTCACCGACCACATCATTCCTTGGGTTTGGCACCTGTGACATGTCATAAATTTTCACAATGCAATTGAAAGCAATGATCATTACGGTTCCTAAGATCTAGTATCATTTGTTTTTAAATTCTTTTGGAACGTAAAACAAGTCAGGCAGTTACTAGCATTTGCCGTGGGGGAGACTAGTTCCTCCACACACATCTGTAGAAAGAAAATGTTTTCCTTTACTGTAAAACGAAGTGGAAGTTTCCATTGTAGCATTACAACAACCTTTTAGTAAACGAAATGATAATCCAAATAAAAATCAAAAATTACTCATAACCACATTTTTTATTTCAAGAAAGAAACACCCTGGATAAGTATACAGCATTTATAACGAGAGCCCTTGATTTCAAGTAATCTAAAGTGTTAATCACAGGTGAAGTCTTTTTAGTTAACAGTTGAAGGGTTGATGCGAAATTACCCTTTGATCCAAAGTATTCAGACAGCAAAAATAAATATAAGCTATTTGTGGAGCATGTTAGAGATTAACGTAAAATATGTATGTCATGTGTATCTTGGTTCTTCTCCCTACATATAGCCTTGAATTCTGTCTCCTTTTTTAAATGTAAGAACCTTAGTAAAATACGTACTTGTAAGAATCTGTTTCAGGTATATTTCTGTGAACAGCTCCACTGTCCTCAAATAACCAGAGGTGGGTTACAGTTTCTGATAAAAACTGAAGGAAACAGGATTAAACAAGAATTAGAGTGATTATATTTTCTTTATCGAAAAACTTCACGTCTTTGGAAAGCTGCTTGGTTTCTATTTTGAGCCACGCTGCCCACATATCTTAACAACAGAATTGTTGCATAATTTTGCTTTTCCTCTTTTTATCTCTGTTTGGGTGTATTTATTATTTCACACGTGATGATGCAAAGCTCATGAAAAGGTCCATTTATATTCTTGTTATCTATATGGGGATCTAGCTGTTTTCCTCTTACTGTTTATAGAACCTCACTGTAATATTCAGATTTGCTGGCAATGAGCCCTTGCTAACAGTATACATTCCATTCCCCTCGGTGACTCTATTTATGGGAGGCAATGTGATTTACTCAAGGCTAATAAAGACAGTGTAAAAGGATGGGTCATGGATTTATCCATCCATAGAATTTTAGTGCTTTCGGAGGGAGGTTTATCTTCTGTTCTTTTTTTTTTTTTCCAATTTAATTAAAACAACAGCAAAAAAAAGCGTTAGTTCAAATGAGTGACAGTTGGCAGATCTGCATTATTCCACTGGAGGGGCTCCAGAGTTTCTGATGCTTGGAGATGGACAAGTAATTACCTCCTGTCTGTGACTATTTTCTACCAGGCTAAGCCCAATGTTTATTGTAAACTGTCTGCCATTAAAAGCTGTAATAGCAAGCCTTATGTTCCCACACCATAAATGTGACTTGCACTGTTTTTTTATTTACCTTCGTGTTTTATTATATTCTTTGAAATGTTTCATTTTAAAGGAAGATAGCAGAAGAATGAAAATTGAACAAATTCCAAATTCACGCTTGAAAAAAGATAGGCTTAGCATACATATTTTCTGCATGCACCCGGACAGCCTGATGGCCACTTTCTGGATATTGGCAGCTTCTGTGTAGTTAACTATTAGATGTGGTTGCTATTAGTATATCACTTGTTCAATGGTCTAGAAAATAGCCTACGAATTAAAGTTGAACCAAACCACAGAGGCCCAGCACAGCGGTTCTCTCAAACTTTTTGGTTTCAGGGCCTTTTAATACTCTTTTTTTTTTTTCTTTTTTGGACCCCTGCCCCCCCCCCCCCTTTTATACTACTCCTCAAAGAGCTTTTGTTTGTGTGGATTTTATCGGTCAATGTTTCCTGTATAAGAAATGAGAACTGAGACCTTAAACTCATCATTTACTTAAAAATGTTAAAAACCCATTACGTGTTAACATAAATAGCATTTCAAAAGGGAAAAAATGATTTTCTAAAAAAAGTTTTTGTGAGAAAAAGATTGTTTTAGATTGTGACTTGATAGGGGAAAAAGGGGTTCTCCTATCCATTTTTCCATTCAATCTGTTGCTTTAGTTGAAGTATATGAAGAAAATTTGGCCCCACACAGCTATGTAGCTGGAAAAGTGTGCATTTTAACAGCTTTTACAAATAATTATGGGTATTATTCTTGGATTGCAAACCTAAATTTGACAAGTGGTAGTTTTTTAAAGGTTAGTTACAATGAGGAATCTGTAATCCCATCAGAGAACCTTTTCTTTTTTAAATTAATAGACTTTATTTTTTAGATTTTATTTAAGTAAACTCTACACCCAACATGAGGCTTGAACCCATAACCCATGAGGCCAAAAGTCACATATCCTACTGACTGAGTCAGCTGGGCACCTCAACAGACTTTGTTTTTTGCTTGTTTAATTTTTAATGTTCATTTCTTTCTGAGAGAGAGAGAGCGCGCGAGCATGTGTGCGTGAACAGGGGCGGGGCAGAGAGAGAGGGAGACCCAGAGTCCAAAGAAGGCTCCAGGCTCACAGCTGTCAGCACAGGCCTGACACGGGGCTTGAACTCCCGAGCCGTGAGATCATGACCTGAGCCAAGGTTGGAAGTTTTACTGACTGAGCCACCCAGGTGCCCCCAGACTTTGTTTTTTTAGAGCCATTTTAGGTTTACAGAAAATGGAGCAGATAGTGCAAGAGTTCCCATAATAACCCCGCACCCAGTTTCCTCTATGATTAATGTATTGCATTAGTGTAGTCTAACATGTGTTACAGTTGATGAGCCACTATTGCTATATTATTAACCAAAGCACACAGTTTAAAGTAGGGCTTACTCTCTGTGACGTATAGTTCTGTGGGTTTTGACAAATGCATGTTATGTGTCCACCGTTACAGTATCAGACAGAACAGTTTCACTGCCTAAAAATCATGTGTTCTACCTCTTCACCCCCCTCCTCGTCCCCTGAACCTCTGGTAACCAATGATCTCTTCATTATCTCTGTAGTGTTTCCCTTTCCAGACTATCTTAGAGCTGGGATCACCTAGTACATTCCAGGGGGGGGGAGAGACAGAGAGAGAGGGAGAGAGGGGGAGAGGGGGGGGGGGAGGGGGGAGAGAGGGGGGGGAGGGACGGAGGGACGGAGGGACAGAGAGAGAATGAGAATCCGAATCCCAAGCAGGCTCCATGCTGTCAGAGCAGAGCCCAGTGCAAGGCTGGATCTCATGGTTCATGAGGTCATGACTTGAGCTGAAATCAAGAGTCAGATGCTTAACTGACTGAGCCCGTCCCATGCTTATTTTCTATCTGTGTATCTTCTTTTGTGAGGTGTCTGCTGAGATCTTTTGCCTGTTTTTGAACTGGGTTTCTTATTGCTGAGTTTTTAAAGTTATTTGTATATTTTACATACTAGTCCTTTATCACCTATGTGTTAGGGAAATATTTTCTCCTAGTCTGTGCCTGTCTCTCCATTCTCTCAAGTCAACGGGCCTTCCGTACTAGGACAGGGTGGCACCATGGCGCTGATTTATGCCGTGGCACCAGTGGTTTTGCCCAGCGTTGTCGTGGGACATCGGTGCACATTTCAACACTGAGAAAAGGCAGATAACATTTTGGTAGTTTTGTGGACACCCCCAGAAAGGCCTCTGAGTTCCCCAGGGCCCACAGACCACATTTCGAGAACCATTGCCTTTGAGCAAACAAGTACAACTTCTACGATTTAGTTCAAGCCTCAGAAAGACCAAATAGAACTGGAACTCATGAGCTTTCCAAAAGCAAAATGTTAGCTTCATTTTCTGCTAAAAGGATTTAGAAGGCACAGAAGAAATACCATGCACTGAAGTTAGTGTTCCAACTCATTGGGCAGAGTCAAAACCAATTTTGTTTAGGCATTTTTTTCCCCAATGATTCTTGGCAGAATATTTTCCAAGAAGTGTGTTTGTGTGTGTGTGTGTGTGTGTGTGTGTGTGAGCAAATAACAAAGTTTGTGAGCCAATGTCTCCCAATAGCCAAAAAATTGCTAGCTAATGCCCAGTGATGGGCTTATAGCATGTTTGTATATAGAGACAATATATGGAGCCCCCAACTTTTTCATTTTTATTCTTCCAACAGTGTCCAACCAGCATAGAAATGGGGAACTAACTCTAGCTTGGCAAACCAGACAGACCTGGATTTGAATCTTGGCTCTGTAATCTTATTTAACTTCTCTGAGCCTTCTGTTCTCCATCTGTAGAAGGGAATGGATATTATGGCTAGGGCTGTGAAGATTATATATATATATATATATGTCATATATATATATATATGACAATATGTGAAGGAAGGGTCTGAAACTTCATGGATATCACTCAAATAATCCATATCATCACCAAAAGCCATCCCCTCCATTTTTAATGGTTTCATAATCTTATTTTGTGGCCCAGGTAATTATGCCTTCTTGGAAGTTTGCTGGAGAAAATACTAGTAAGTGTTAGTGTACCTCTCTAGGAAAACTAAGTTTTCACAGAGACCAAAACCAGAGCAAGAAATCTCTAGCATGGTCTGTCCTTAGCAGAGGTACTACAGATGTAAATGAACATGAGAAACCACTAGAACAGAACCTAACGATAGGACCATAGCAGCTATGATGTACAACTGATGAAGTGGCCAGGACCCATTCTAAAGGCAAAGGTCTAGTACTGGTCAAAAGTTCAGTAGGGTGCCTGGCTGGCTCAGTCAGTAGAGCATGCAACTTGTGATCATGGTGTTGTGAGTTCAAGCCCCATGTTGGGTGTAGAGATCACTTAAAAATAACAACTTAAAAAAAAATTCAGGATGAGACCAAACCATGGAGTGCATCCCAGAAGTAGCAAGAGTGAAAAACCAGTAGCCACCCACCAGGGAAATGTCACAGTGATGTACTTGCCCACACAGAATTCCCACGGGCAAGATGAGTTGTATCTTCTCTTCATCCAGAAACACCTTAATGCTGCTTTTG